ATTCTTGTGGAGAGATTTCATCTCTTCATCCATTGCCTCTTTCCATTTTGCACTTTCTACACTCTGTACTGCTTCTTTGTAGGTGCAGGGGATTCCGTCATCAATCACCGGAAGTGCATAAGCCACCATGTTACAATACCGAGCAGGTTTCTTGATAACTCTTTTCGGTTTACTCGTTGCAATGGATTCTTGTTGTGTGGTTGCTGAAGTTGTTGCATCCTCTTCATCTGAACTTTCATCTGAATCTCCTTCAGTAGAGATTTTCTGAACAGTCTTTATAGGAATGACTGAAGTCTCCAACTCCACCTGTTGTGCATCACCAGACTGTTTTTCCTTCTCCTGTGATTTCTCTTGTTGTAACATGCCAGACTCATCAAAAGTGACATCTCTACTCAAAATCACTTTCTTTGATTCAGAACACCAGAGTCTGTAACCTTTTACTCCTCCACTAAAGCCCAAAAATATAGCTTTCTTGGCTCTAGGATCTAGCTTGGACTCAGTAACATGATAATATGCTGAGCAACCAAATATACGCATAGAGTCATAATCATTTGCAGGAGAGCCTGACCATACCTCTAAAGGGGTTCTTCCATTTAATGCTGCTGAAGGTAACCGGTTAACAATATGACGAGCATAGCTTAATGCCTCGCCCCAGAACACTTTGCTTAGTCCTGAATGTGATAGCATACATCGGACTTTCTCTACCAATGTGCGATTCATGCGTTCTGCTACTCCATTTTGTTGTGGTGTTTTACGCACAGTAAAATGTCGTTTGATCCCTTCATCCTGGCAAACTTTAAAGAAAGGATCTGAAGTGTACTCACCACCATTATCTGACCGAAGAGTCTTAACTCTCCTTCCCGTTTGAGTCTCCACCATTTTCTTCCATTTCAGAAAGATATCAAGGACCTCATCCTTGTGTTTCATCATGTACACCCATACTCGTCTTGAGAAATCATCAATAAAAGTAACAAACCAACGATTACCTCCAAGAGATTCATTCTTTGAAGGTCCCCATACGTCTGTGTGAACATAATCAAGAATCCCTTTTGTATTGTGTACCGCAGTGCCAAACTTGACTCTTGTCTGTTTTCCAAGAACACAATGCTCACAGAACCCATGCTTCCCAGTCTTGGCGCCTTTTAATAGACCTTGCTTGACCAATCCTTGCAAAGCCTTTTCACCAGCATGCCCTAAACGCATGTGCCAAAGTCTGGAATTATCTGCTTCATCATCTTCTATGCTTTTGGAAACAGCTGCTGTACCGGTAACAGTAGATCCATCCAGGAAATATAAGTTTCCTTTCCTCGTGCCTCTTAAGACAACTAATGCACCACGGATTGCTCTCAGGACTCCACCATGCATGATAATCTTATAACCATTGGATTCTAGGACTCCAAGTGAGAAGAGATTTTTCTTCAGGTCAGGTACATACCGTACCTCTGTCAGTGTCTTGACTACCCCATTATGCATCTTCAGATGGATAGTCCCAATCCCTTTGATCTCACAAACATCATCATTACCCATCAACACAACTCCTCCATCGAACTCCTCGAGTCTCGAGAATAAGTGCTTGTTAGGGCACATGTGATAGGAACATGCAGAATCAAGAATCCATTCACCAGAATGGTTTTCTGGTGATGAGACCATGAATGCAGAGTCTCGTTCATCCTCATCTCGTGCAACGTTCACAGTTGGTTCATCTTTTTCCTTATTGCCCTTGATCGGACAATCTTTCTTCCAGTGTCCCTTTTTATGACAAAAGGCACACTCATCTTTTGCAAGATATCGTCTGTTTGATGATTCTCCTCTGGATTTTGAGCGAGATCTCCCTCGCCCTCGAAATCTTCTAGGGTTTGTTCTGCCTCTAACTGTCAATGCTTCTGACGTTGACTCTTTGTGAACAATCTGATCCTTCTTCCGGTACTCATTGTTCACCAAAGCATTGGACACATCAATGAATTTAATCTTTTCTTTACCATACAGTAAAGTGGTGACGAGATGTTCATATGTGTCAGGCAGTGAATTCAATAACAGCAGAGCTTTATCTTCATCATCAATTTCCACATCTAAATTCTTCAAATCAGCTATCATTTTATTGAAATCATTCAGATGCTCATTCATAGAAGTACCTTTCTTGTGCTGAAAGCGGAAGATTCTTTTCTTCAAGTAGAGACGATTCTCTATACTCTTCTTCATAAACTTGTCCTCCAGTGCTTGCCATAATTCCTTTGCAGAGTTTTGTTCTGAAAAGGCGTACTTCTGATCCTTTACAAGACAAAGTCGGATGGAACTGCAAGCTAACCGATTTATCCTTTCCCAGCTTTTATCATCCAAATCCTCCGGTTTATCTTCTAGAGTGAAATCCAAATTCATTTGGACAAGCATATCCATGACTTCACATTTCCACATGCCAAAATTACCCTTCCCATCAAACTTCTCCACCTCAAATTTGGTACTCGATACCGGGATATATTGTGGAGGTATACTAGCATTTCCCACTAATTTTTCTTCTGGAATATCAGCCATTAGGACGTCTTTGGATTACAAATAGGCTCCCGAAATTGTTAAAACATGCACTTTTATGCTCAAAAGAGCCAAAACAGTAACTTCGGTGTGCTGTTTCACAAAACGGACACCACGGTTGCGTCCGGAATGGTTGAAAATGCTAGGAACCAACTTGACTCGGCCTAAAACCGGTCAAAACATCACTGAGTTGGCCAAAAAATCAATCTGACCGAGTTAACTCAGGGAAGGAATATTCTGTCTCTGATGAAGAATATTCTGTCACGGAATATTCTCTTACTGTCAACGGAATATTCTTATTCTGTCAAGAGAATATTCTGTCACTGTTAGATGATGTGTCTGATGACATGGCAATGTGGACCCTCTGTTGATGACGTGGATGTTGACTCAGCGCCACGTGGCGGATGACGTGGCTGTCTTCTCAGGTGAGATTTCCGGCACTGTCTGGTTTTTCCGGCAGATTTCCGGCGAAACTTCGGCGAGCTCTACAGGGCTTGTTTCAACTCCGATTTTGATGATCTTTATATCGCCGGACTCGTATCGACGAGAGGAATCTCCACAGGTGGTCAAAATCAAGATCTGAGAACTTTGAAAATTCTGCAACTTTGAACAGAGAGCTGAAAAAGGTGTTTTTTTCAGTGTTCAAGCTTCCCTAATGCTCTGATACCAATTGTTGCGCATACTGGACCAAAAGCAAACACAAATAAAACACAAACAACAGATTTACGTGGTTAAAAAAAGATGTTTCTTTTTACTCATGCTTAAAAAAAATGTGGCTTGCAAATTATCAATGGTAAATTTAAAAACATTAATAATCTCAAACAATCATTTTGTGTTTGATGTCAAGGATAATTGGGATTCTTTCTCTAATGATTTAATTAAGACTCTGCATAATTAAGTGCTAGAAATTTCTTACATATATATTTCAAATGATCTTTCGAGAATCTATAACGGGGACAGTAGCTGTCGGATCTCTGAATCTATTACCAAGAATTCAGAAAAACCGTTTAAAAAAAAAACACAGAGAACATAGTTATTTGCTACCTTCTGATGATGGCCACCATTGTGATATATATGTCTTAGTTTTTCTTCCCAAATCAGAAGCTCAATTTTCCTTTGGGAAATGGTGCATTTAATCACCACAGTACATGGCACAGGAGTTTCCCACTGCACTCTCCATTCCCTTACATGAAGTCTAATATCAACAGAGTTATTGATATAATAAATATTCTCCAATATTCTTACTTGAAACTCTTAGGAATGCAATTTCACTCATCATATTCTATATATAAATAATCATCTCTACATGCATGGCCATATCTTGATGTGGGTGACGATGACAATAGAATATTCTGGAAACGCAGAAGAAGAAAAAGATCTTTACATGCTTAGGAAGAAATTGTACCAAATCCAAACGTATGAGGGAGGAAATTCTGAGTGTTACTGTCAAGTAGTTTTACGCGAAACAAGAGATGATGACAATAAGTGGAGCAAGAAACAACAACAGTGGAAGCGATGGATCGATTTTCTTTGCATTTTCTGGCAGAAAAATGTGGGATGAGAGGAACATTCACTCAGTAGGGATTAATAATATAGTGGGAAATAAAGATTAGATCATTAGATTGATAAAAACTGGAATTGGGATTGGGAGGCGAGGCGTGTGGGGCATGTGAAAGGTGACCTAAGATTTTCGATGTAAAGTTAGCGGCAGCACAAGAAAGAAAGAGCGAGCCACGTGTAGAGGCAGGTTACTCTTGGAAGAGGCAAGAACGCGGGGTTGGACATGTTCAAAGGGACCAATAAGCCATTAACGTACCTCCCCACCAATGCCCCAATAAATCCTAACGCCCCATTACCATCAACCCTCCCCTCCATTAACAGTACACTATTGTTCCATAATGGTCTTCAAACAAGGAAAAGGAATTTCTCCTCTTTTTATTATATTATCATCTTTCTATTGGATTGGCCATACTGGGTTTTTTTTTTTGTCAAATTAAAAAAAATGATATATAGTAGTACTATTAGTGTCATTATGCAAATACACGTACATAAAAAAGGAATTTTATAATAGAGAAAGATAGTGAAAAAGAGGGTGGTCGTGTCGAAGTCTTAAGCAGCTATGTCCCGCAACCCCCACAACTCGTTTATATCACTTCGTCAATCCCTCCCTCCCTTTGAGCTCTCTTTCTACTGTTACAGGACACGTGTTGATCTAAAACAAGTTTGCGGTGGACCTCCTTCCCTTTCCTTTCCCTCTATATATACCGCCCTTCTCTCTGCCCCTCTCTCCTCAGATCACTCACGCTCACCCCCTCCCTTCCTGGTCTCTCTCGCACAACTCCTTGTTTCTTTGAACCAAAAGCATCCGAGACCGCTCTCGCTTCCCAACAAGGCAGCGCACCAAAAGAAAGAATACCCTCCTCCTTACACCAATCATAGCTATAGCTCAAACGACTTTGCCAAAATATAGAAACATGGCTTCAACAGCAACAGCAGTGCCTACAACCTTGGGCTCCTCATCATTTTCGTCTTCTTTAAACAGGCCTGGTAGAAAGCCCAATGTCAACATCAATTGTTCACTCCAAACTCCTTCCATTCTCCATTTCCCAAAGCAATCCACTGCGTGCACACCATCTACCACTTTCCCCAATCCCACCACCGGACACCCAAAACAAAACACGCCCTCTCCAGTTGTGGTTGTGCCCCAAAAACAACAGCAAAAGCAACAGCAGGAAAAGCAATGGAATTTCTTTCAAAGAACAGCAGCTATGGCTTTAGATGCTGTTGAAACTGCCTTGGTTTCACATGAACGTCAGCACCCTTTGCCCAAAACAGCTGACCCCAGAGTCCAAATCTCTGGCAACTTCGCTCCGGTACCGGAACAGCCCGTCGTTCACAATTTACCGGTCACCGGGGAAATCCCAGATAGCATTCAAGGTGTTTATCTAAGAAACGGAGCCAATCCACTCCACGAGCCAGTAGCTGGTCACCATTTTTTCGATGGTGATGGCATGGTTCATGCTGTTCAATTCAACAAGGGCTCAGTCAGCTATTCTAGCAGATTCACTGAGACTAATAGGCTAGTTCAAGAACGTGACTTGGGACGTCCTTTATTCCCAAAAGCCATAGGTGAGCTACATGGTCATTCAGGCATAGCTAGACTCTTGCTTTT